TCCATACCGCAGTCTATACCCATGCACACATACAGTACAGTACGACGACATACATCATTCATCCATACACCCATATACCCATAAGTGAGTACTCTCCCTTCCATCTCCCCCACCACCACCCCCCCAAACCCCAAACCCCCCAACCTCCCCTCACGCTCCCCATCCCGAGTCGCCATGATCACCAGCACCGCCGCACCCACCACCCCCTCCCCCTCCCCTCTCCCTTCACCACCCTCCACACACACACACACACACATAAGTATGTACTACATACCAGCGCAAATGTACTTCATGACGTTAAAGTCGCTAAAAGACAAGTGTGCCTACCATTCCACAACGCTGTCGGCCGGGAGGGGCGAGGCCGGGAGCTGGCCCGGCGAGGGCAGAATGGCGCTGCTGCTGCTAGCGGGCGCAAGATCATCGTCGCCGGGGAAGAGGTACCGCTCGAGATGGGCAGGCGCCTCGGGCTCGGGCGACATTAACCGCCGCCGACGCCGCCGCTCCGATTGTGGCGTCGAGCCGTAGAGGCTTGGCGGGCGCGAGGTTCGCGTTGGACTACTGCCCAAGGTCCCTCGTGGCGTCGGCAGCCACACACTGCCGCTGCCGCGAGTCTCTTCGCAGGCAGGAAGGAGCGCCCCCGATGGCGGCGGCGTGAGCGTGTCACGTGGTCGTGCCCACGCTCGTGGCGGTGTCCGCGACGCCGCTCGCGATGTCGAGAGCAGCAGCGCTGTTGCAAGTGCCTGCGCCGGAGACTCGCGCCGCGCTGGCCAGCTCGGCTCCGGGCTGCCTTCGACGGCATCGAGCGCCGCAACTAGGGCAGCGACCCGCGTCCGTCCGCTTGTCTCGTGCGGACTCGCCTGCTCGTCGTCGTCAGACCATGAAAGGTCCAGGTCGTCGAGCAGATAGCGGTTGCGCCGGATGAGCGACATCGGCGACGACGGCGCAGCTGCAGCCGTTCCTGGCGTCGCAGGCGGCGACGCCGTCTCTGGTTGTAGCGCTGGGCGTGCTGCCGGGCGCGGAGCGGTCGACGGTGAGAACAGGTACCACTCACCGGACTCGTGCAACCCGCCTCCGATCGGCGTCTGTGGCGTCCGGCTTCGCGGCACAGGCCGATCGTCGCGGTACGCCGCCAGCGCGTTGAGTGCAGCCTGCAGCCGCAGGCTGTGCACTCGCGGGCCGCGCGGATTACCCACCAGCCGCAATGTGCGGAGCGCCGGATACCGGCTCGCGCCGGGCTCAAAGGCCTCGAGCGCGGTAGCCAGCGCGCGCACGCCGACCACTCCGATCTTATTGTCGCGGAGCTCGACAAGCTCCAGCCGCAGTGGTGCAACACCTGGATCGAGCGCCGCTGCAAGCGCGCCGGCCGCCGAGTTCCCTACCTCGTTGGCGGCAAGGTCCAGGTGCGTCAGCGACGAGTAGGCGCGTGCCGACGGCGCAAGAAGCGCTGCAAACAACGCCGAGCCGCCGGCGTCGCTGATGCTGCAGCGAGCCAGACCGAGCGAAGCGAGAGCAGGCAGCGATGCGAGCGCCCCCGCCAGCGCCGTCGCGCCCATATCGCCCAGCGCGTTGCCACCGAGATCGACCGTCACAAGCGAGGCACAGCCCGGAGCCATCAGCGCCGGTGCATACACCCGATCCGCCAGTGATCCGCTCATCTGCGTTGCCCAAAGATCCAGCTCCCGCAGTGCCGGTGATCGCAGCGCCGGCATGGCGCCCAGCGCTGCCGCCAGTGCCTTGTGTGAGCTCGTCGAGAGCGGAAGGAACCGCAGCGAGGCCGTGGCCACCCCCGCCCCGTCGGTCCTCGCCAAAGACTCTGCCATAGCTCGGACCGACGCCGACGCCTCACTTTCGTCAGTCTCCATCCCCACTTTGCCTGCGTGCAGTCTGCTGTCGTACCTTCGTCTTGCTCACACTCCCCGCGACTGGCGAAGCCGGCGGCCGTTTTGGCGCGCCTCTTGCAGCCGATGGCGCCGCCACAACGAGCCACGCTCTCAATGGCTCGTCAAGCATATATCGAGGAGCAGAGACTGGGGGACATGCCCACAATGGAGGTGCAGAGAAGGGGAAAGGTTCCATGATCATGGATGTAGCGTCCTTCCTTACGCCTCTGTCGCACTTGCGAGCCAGTTGCCGCAGCTGTGCTTGAGCACAGCAGTCATGGCACATGCATCTATGCTCCTTCTACCAGGTCGACCTCGTCTCTGATGCAATCCCTCATGACCACACCTACCACATCCCCATCGGTCCAACCACCGACACACCCTTTCCATGATACCATTCCTTCTCTCATCGCATCCAATCATCAATGCAACTCAATCCGACAGAGCTGGAAGAGGCCAGCAGCTGCATGTCATGTTGTTCAAAGTGTGACGGCATTCGTGCCAGCGCCACCAAACGGCGGTCACTTCGGCTGTGGAACACCTCTGCCGACAGAGGCACACACCACTCACCCCCCCCCTCACCTCTCCGTCCCCTCACACATACACATACACATACACATACACATACACACCCATCCTTAGAGATAAACCATGGCCAAGGATCTCGGCCGTGCTCTGCGTGAGCTGAATGAGATTCTGGTCGTTCTGGGCAAGCCGCCCATGGACGGACCTGTTCTTCCAGACGCTCTGGATTCCAGCAGTGATACCACTTCTTCCACAGGTGCTGGTTTGGTTGGAGACAACCATGTGACCGCTACGGATGGGCCCGGCCATGCTGATGCTGACGAGGCAGGCGAAGATGGTTCTGGTCGTGATGATGGCTCTGTTCATGCTGTGGACAGCCTCGACGCCCTGGTTCTTGAAGAGGCGGCTGCGCAGGTGGCCCGTGCGGCGGTGGCGGCGCGCAAGGCGGTGGCCTCGGTCGAGCCGGACCTGGCGCAGATCGTCAAGCTGTATGACGAGCGGGCGCAGAACGCGGTCAAGGTGATCCAGCTCGCCAGCGAGCTGCAGGTGGCCCGGATCGAGGTCGAGGCCCAGGCCAAGTTGAAGGACAAGGCCGAGCGCGCGGCCGAGGCCGAGGCCCAGTTGCGGACGAGGGCCGAGAACGAGGCCGCCGAGCTGTCGTCGCGGCTGAGCGAGGCATACACCCACATCAAGACGATGGAGGCCGAGAAAGACGCGCTGCAGCGCCGGGTCGGCGAGCTCTCGGCCGCCATGCCGCAGAACGAGTCCGAGCGCGAGGCGCTGGCTGAACAGCTTGCTGAGCTGCAGGGTGAGCTCGAGGAGGCCAAGCAGTGGCAGCCGTCGGGCATCGCCCAGTCGGTGCTTTCAGGCATGTGGTGGACGGCCAAGTCGGCATTTCAGCTCGCCTCGGACGGCATGGGGCAGATCAAGAACAAGACTCGGTCCAAGCCGGGTGTGTACACCCGTTACGAGACCCTACAGATGGAGACCATCCAGCGGTACTACGCCCGCCACATCACCTCGGAGCTGCCGGACATTCTCCAGACGCTTGTCGACGATGCCGGCCTCTTCCGCGCCGCCACCGCGCCTGCCCACATCCCCACCACTCAGGACTACCGATTTGCCGAGTGGTCTCACAAGATCGGCGCCGGCTTTCTCGCAGGCGTCGCCCGCAGCCTGGTCAAGAAGGTCTGTGAGTATCAGGCCGAGCGCGCAGGTCGCTACTTTGGTATCACCGGCTGCGGCTACGTCGACGACCCGACCAACCTCGTTCTTCGCGAGCTCAAGGACTGGCTTGTCGTGCTCTCCTCGTGCGACAAGACCGAGCGGACTCGTCTCGACATTGATGCCCGCTGCGCCTTTCTCGACGAGCTCATTGACAACAACGTTTTTCAGTCGTCCGGCCGCTCTACCACCACTATGACCGGCATGCTCGCCGGCGTCCGCACCGAGCTTGCCTTTGTTCGCGATCACTACGATGACGACGAGGCCCTCGACCTTGAGCAGTTTGAGCTCCTCGCCGACGCCATGGCCTCGGACATGGGTGCATCGACAGGCTCCATGGCCCGCTCCGTCGCCGCCTCCTCCTCTGGCCTCGACCTTGCCCGCTCCTCGGCCGGCGTCAGGCTCCCGCGCGATGTCGCCGCCTCGGCCGCCTCGCTCTCCATGGACCCTCGTCCTCCCGCCGAGAGCCACACCACCAACAGCGGCGGCGGCAGCAACAACGACGACGACGACGACGACGACTTTGGCTTCCAGATCCTCAGCTGATATGTGGCAACTCCTCTTCCTCCCCCCTCACGCACGCGTGTGTATGGGCCGAGATCCAATGAACTAACAGTCTCACCCGACCAGCAATCACTGTTGCATCAAGTGCGACAGAACGATGGCCATTCGGGTTGTCGCCAACGAATCGAACACCTGTGCCATCGACTCCATGGAACACCGCCGAACGAAGACGCCCACCGACGGCACAGACTCACCCGCCACGCCCATCACCGCACACCGCATACACAAAGCACAACTCCTCTCCCACATATACATACACACATACATACACACATACAATCCTTCCCTCTCCTATGGCTCACAGGGTGATCGATGTGTGCCGGGCGCAGGGCGAGGAGGAGAGCAAGCCGACCGTCGACGACGCGACCAGGACGACAGGCATGCTCATCGCGGCTGCGCTGACAAGCCTCCGCAGTTTGGATGCGGCGCTGAATGAGGTAGAGCGACCGAGCTTTGTCGCGGCAGAGGCGGCCAATGCTGCTGGTGCTCAGCTGGCGCAGTATGCGAACGACGCCGACGATGCCGAGGCCCAAGCCATGGCCGGTGCTGCCGAGGCCATTGCCGCTGGTGGCGTGCCGGTCGTCATGGCGCTCGCCGCCGCCCTCGCCCGGGTCGCCGCCTCCACTCCGGTCCGCACCGGGGGCCGCAGGCGGTTGGCCGGCTCGCGATCGGGCGCATCCCCGATGCTGGCCCAGGAGAACAGGATGCTGCTGGCCCAGGTGGAGACGCTCAACAACGAGTACAAGCTCATGGCAGCCCACGCCGACGAGGTCGAGCGCCATCGCGACTCACTCGAGGCCGAGTTGCGCTCGGCGCGGGAGCGGGCAGACGCGGCAGAGGCCGCGGCGGCGGTGGCAGCTGCAGACGCGCAGGCTGCCAAGGCCGAGGCCCACGCCCACGCCACGGAAGCGGGAGCGGGAGCAGGAGGGCATCCGGCGGACGATCCCGACTCGCTGGTGCATGTGGTCGATCCCCAGCTGAACGAAGCGTCGAACATTGCGCGCATTCTCGACTGCCACAAGGCGATGCTCGCGGCACGGCATGCCACGATCGACGGGCTCGCCGAGCAGAACCGGGCGCTCCATGAGGAGGTCGACGCGCTTCGGGAGGCGCTGGCGGCGGCGGCGGCCGGTGTTTTTCCAGGAGAGACAAGCGGGCCGGGCGACGACGACAGCGCGAGTCTTGTCGTGTGGCTCTCAGATGCGGCGGCAAGCGTGGCGTCTGCGGCGAGTTCGGCTGGCTCTGCGCTGGGGCGGATGCTCGACGATGTGGCGAACCGGCGGCTGCTGTCGTCAAACGCGCTAGCGGAGCGCGAGCTGCAGCAGATGCGGACGGTGCATCTCAACTACGGGCGGCACGTGTCGTCGATGCTGCCGCGACAGCTCGAGCTGGAGCCGGTGGCCGAAGGTTCGAATGAGGTGACGGCAGTGTGCTCGGTGCCAGCCAAAGCGATGTGTGTCGCGTACTGGGTCGGCGACGCAAGCGAGCAGCGGCGGAGGTCGGCGTTTGCGTCGACGGTTGTGGAGGCCATAGCCGTGGTGTGTCGATACCAGGAGGCGCGGAGCAAGCGGGCGTTTGGGACGGCGTACCCGAACGATCCGACGAACCTGGTGTGCTTTGAGCTCAACTCGTGGCTCTCGTCGCTGCTCTCGGTCGAAGTGTACACGACCGAGATTGCCGAGGCACTCGTGGCACGGCGCAAGTACCTGCTTGCGCTAATCGACGCCGGCATCTTTCCGTCGCCGCGGCGGTCGTCGTCGATGGCCGACACGCTGCGGATCGTGGCGCTACAGTTGGCGGCGCTGAGCGCGGTTCTCGATGCGGAGCCTGGCCTGCTTGCGCGTATTTAGTGGCACCGGTCAGTTCGATGACGAGGCGTCGACAACAAAGAGTGATCTGGGCTCGTCCGGCGCGGTGCGGCGCGGGAGCGCATGCGGGCGCTTGGCCGGTGGTGCGGCGAGACCGATCATGGTCGGCGACGGGGTTCGCTTGCGCTTGAGTGAGATGTTGGCGGCAGAGACGCGGGCCTCGAACGAGAACGAGCCGCCGAGCATGTGCGCGACAGGCGTTGTTGGTGGCGTCGACGGCGGGGGCAGAACGCGCCTGGATGAGGTCGAGTTGGTGGAGAGGAGCATCGACGCCGAGTTCGAGTGCTCACGTGGGGTAAAGAGGCCCGATGAGACGGTGCCAAAGCCGTCCATGGTGTTGGACGAGGTGCCACCGGTCAGCGAGTGGCCTGCAGGCAGCAGCGGTGCCGACGTGGCCGACGAGAGCGGGATGTGCGGGATGGACGAGTGTGGGGTAAAAACGTCGCCGTCAAGGAATGAGGCCAGGAAGCGGGCGGTGTCCGACGAGGCGCTGGCCGGAAGTGAGCCTGATGCGATGGCCGACGCCATGGTCATCGACGACGACGACGCCGAGGCTGGCTTGGAAGGGGTCGAGCCGAGGCCGTCAAAGCCCAGGCTCGAATCGTAGTGACTCAACGGCGCATCGAGCAGCGGCTGAGCGCTCGACGACGGCTCCAGCGTTGGCGACGCCGCCAGCACTCTGCTGCTTTCCCTCTCGCCGGCGGCGATCAGCGGCAGCGGCAGCAGCTTGGTCTCGGCCAGATGCGGCGGCGGCTGGAGGCGGACGGGCGGAGCGAGGCTTGCGGCGTCGAGCTCGGCCGGCGAGCGCGAGACCGGGCGGGGGCGCGGCGGTGATGAGAGCATCGGCGAGCGCGACGAGCGCTTTCCTGTCCGCGATGAGCGCGGCCAGGCGTAGTAGAGGGTGAACATGCCGCCGGAAGCGCCAAGCAGCGAGTAGACCTCATCAGCGGTGGCCTTTGTCGAGCCGGACCAGGTTCTGTCGTCGGCGCCGGTGGCCGAGGCCGAGGCGTGCAACCGAAGCGAGCGAAGGGCGCCGAGCGCCTTGGCCTTGGCCTTCCACTTTTTGATGAGGAACTTGATGGCGGCAGCAAGACACTTTGTCCGCGACAAGGTCATCCGCAAGTGCGGTGTGAACCCGTTCTTGGTCAGTGCCGTCGCGTACTGCGGGCGTCGTGGAAGCAGCTCGAGGGTGAGCTTGCCGGAGCGATTGGCCATTACCTAGTGTCTCGGGGGTGTGGGGTGGGTGGGTGTGGGGTAGGGGGGGAGGAGGAGGGGAGGGTGTTGCCGTCTGGACTGGCTGTCTTGATTGCCTTGGTTGCCAGAGGTAGATTCTAGCTCCCAATGCCGGGGTCCGCGCCAAAAGGTCTGCCAGCCGGAACCACGCCGAGAGAGAGAGAGAGAGACAGACAG